ATATATATATATATATATTACGTTGTTAAAATCGAGGGTAAATTTGGGGAACAATAGTTTCATATATCGGAGTTTTAAGGGGATAATTGGTTTGTTATGGTTTTGGCAGGTTCGAATCATCCGTCAGTTGCGCCTGTACAGACCACGGTAAATTTCATCTGAGACCACTATCCATATTCCTGCTACGTCGTTTACTCATGATTCGATTTCTGTGTTGTTTTTCAGATTTGAATGCTATTCGCGACTTCCAAGCAATAAGTCTGGCATCGGGAACTGAACAAGCTGTTCAATGGAAGCGACCAGCAGGTTTGTCGAATTGCGGGCTCTTGCATTATAGCCTGATTTATCGAGACAGGAATTCCACAATGGAACGCCGTTGGTTCACTTCAGAAGGTCCACACCTAATCAGTGGCTTGCAACCAGACACCGAATATTACTACAGCGTCCGGGCATACGTAGGTGAATTACATAGCTCAGAGTCGGGTTGGCAATACTCCAAGACCAATAAAGGTATGGACGAATTCTTATCACGTTTATTGTCCCCAACTACCAGTACCAAACTAACGTGATATTCTCTACTTTGACGGAAATGAAAAGTACAGGTCACATGGTCCATCAATCAGCAGGTATTCTGTGCAAAACAACTTCCTGTCGTTCAGCGAGAATTCCTGAGTTAAGCTGATATAGATGAATGCGCGGTTGTTACATCTTTACTGTGTGGGAGCGAGCATGAATATAAAGTTTCTCCCTACTATTGATCGGCTGGCCTGCGAAAATAACTGTAGAAAATCTGTAGCGCCTTTGGACTACCGTGAGTACATATGGGTGTATCAACTTGTGATCAACGATACGGAACAAAAAACTACCTCATTTTTCTCATCTGAGCACATCTGATAAAGTACTTTTCATTAGTTCACTAGGGCAGCACCAGTAACGCTACTGTCTCTAGTTGACTGGAAATGGCTCCTATCGAAAAAGAGTTCTGTTGTGTTCTCGAGATGGAGTGTGGAAGTCTGCTATTTATAAATTCGGATAAAAACAAAATCCACCGCCAGTGGTCCAGTGTGAGCCCAGTGTACGTCAGTTTTCAGAACAACGCGACAGTCAATTAGCCCATATCACCTAAATTCAGAGCTAGCTCCACAAACAGAAGATATAAGCCCAGTTCTAATCGGACGAGACAGAAAATGGGACACCATTGTTTTACTCATGAGATATAATACATCGCCCAGAAGGTTGATAGGAACAAATCAGCAGGCCCAAATATAAACTACCGATTGTTTATCAAATTCTTCTGAAATCAGCAGGCTGTTCCGAGTTCCGATCTGTGTCAGACTAGTTAAATATGTCGATTTTTTTTATCAATCTCATCTTATTATTGAGTATTTTGTATTGAGTTGAAAACTGAGAGATTAACGTAAAATTATTGGGATACTTTTGTTCTTGATGTTCTCGAAACAGAAATGCTGTTCAAACGCTGTCTCGGGGCAGCCAGCAAACAATTTTGACCACAAAGACATTTTTCTCCGAAAAAATGCTCTACTCATAAGTATGATGAAGTTTCTTTGAGCGGTGACCACCTCCAAATTAGTCACTAAACTCTCTGCGACATTATTTGACGAAATTATATATATATATATATAACTACATGTATATATATATATTTAGCTAGGTAGAAAAATACTCCAATGGATCATCCGGGGGATACACCATACTGATAAAAAAATACAAGTGTTCATATCTACACTTCTACTTTTGACAATGACGCAACTATAATGCACCTCTGGAAAACCTTATAACCACTATAAGCTAATGTCCAGTGCTTAAAAAACCTTTTAAGTCGTCTTAAAACTCGTCACCAAATTAAAATTTACCGTTTTTGATTACGAAGAACAGCCACTTGTCTGACGTTACCTTGACGGACTCCAAAACTCACAGATGGCTTAAAACTGATGATTGATGTAAGTTAACTACCTTCATGATGATAACCACTTACCAATGGTGGCTTGAGGCAGGATGGTTTTGTCCATAACTTTGACATCCTCGACAGGCACGTGCTTCTATTGGCGGAGTCACAATTCACAGTTTCTTTAGTAAGGTAAACCGACTTAATCAGAGGTGAGAGCAACACTATCCAGTTCCATGGAGAAATATATCTTTTGTTGCCTGTCTTTCCCGCGATTACTTTTCTCATCTGCCTGAATTATGTTCCCCCAGTTCTTGGAAAAATTTAATACAAACAGCTAATGGATACTCAAAAATGCACGAGTTCCTAGCGAGCTCATAAAAGGAGTTTCGGTGTATTCATTCTTTAATCCGATCTTTCTGCGATTTTTTATTTCGTGCTTCAGAACTGGGACCACCGAAGCCGTATAAAGCACAGGCTGTTCCAACAGTGGGAGGTTTTCGGCTGACCTGGAATTTGCCAACAGCAGAATCTGGTCAACATGTGAAGAAATACTTGGTTTCATTCAGAAATGAGGCTTTTCTCTTTATTAATAAGGGAGAGCTGGAATATGCGTTCACCGGACTGCCTTTCTGCCAAACCCTCAATCTCAGTTTACAGTCAATATCCTATTCGAACAAAGCTTCCTCGAAGATATACGAGTGTGTTACTACTCTTGGTACTGGTAAGTTGACAAGCCGCCGTTAGACCGGTATCAACTATACAATAACATAGAAGGTAAACGTCATTAAACACATTATCTTGGGACTTATATCAGCGCTCGGTTTATGATGGGTTTTACGAAGAGGCTTGTACTGCTTCAAACTGATCTGAAAGGTGTTTTGTAGAATTCTATCTCAGAATGCAAGAATTAGAAATGAATATAGGCTAATTGCCTTTCTTCTGACATTTCGAACATCTGTCCGACAGCCGTTCCTGTCCCGATATTGTTTGCCTTTTTGATGACTTGTTTTACCCAGCTAGACTTTCGCATCCGTATCTTTAGATCGCATATCACACTGGTGTTTTGGGGCGTTCAGTAAATTAAACTTCACATTTTGAGTGGCTTGTTTTCGGAACACGCAAGTTAGATTAATGTTTTGGCCCGAGGCTGTTGTGGGTTAAGCATCTTCCATATTTAGCCAAAGAGTGTTCTGACAATCGGATGAATCGCAAAAATTAAAGAACAACTTTTGAAACTCCACTCAATTCTGTAGAATGTACTACTAACAAAATGTGAGAGAATTCCCCAGTCCACCAAGCAGTTTTTAACAGGAAGGTTCTGCTGAGCCTTATGAGATTATTCTTGTCCTTCAAGGGTGATATCCAGAGCTTTTTCGCCACTGAAAAGACTCAGTATTGCCATTTGAAATCCTTAGATTATCTCTCACGTTTTGTGTTATTTATTAAGGGGCCGGCTGGAATTTTGTTAACACTAAGGGACTTCCTGTGGTAAGCTTGCTACCAGTTAAGAGCGTCCTTGGCCTGGATTTCCCTTATCCCACTGTCTAGGTCATAGGCAACTGCTTTTATGTGATGAGAAGTTATTTTCATGTCTTATCTGGCTAGTAGACCACTGTTTTCAAACTCGCACTTTCAAATGAGGAGACTTGAGGCATACGAATACAAGTTCATCATAAGTTTCGGTCGTCCGCTTTGCCCGGGGCTTGCTCTAGTAGTTTCTACCGGGTCTTTCAGATGAGCTCTATTCGAGGTCAAGTTGTAGCAAGACACGAGTTAATGAAAAGAATAAACTGATAGGGTTTTGCTGAGCACAAAATTCGGATTTGCGTATCTGTGAGCACGAGTTTTAGCTGAAATGGGTACCTTAGATACCTCGGACAGCGCTGTCACTTAATAAGTCAAAAGGCAGGATTAATTCTGGTGAATGTGCCTCACCTAGAACGTTATTCAATCAAAAATGTTTGTTATGAGTAATCAATCGCTCACAAAAACTAGGAGATATCCCTTTATATTATTGGACCTATGCAGAGCTTGTATGATCGTTTCTGAAGCATTTCTCAGTTACGCACGGAAGATCCGGTAAAATGGCTTTCGCTGACAGTATTTGTTTAGTCCATGCTTTAGTTTAGGACTTATCCAGTTGGTATCCGACCAGCACTTGACAAGGTTAAGTTAAGCCGTATGACAAGAAAGCGGACGCTAACGTGGGATGCCGCATGTACCACAAGAACTGGTTGTCTGGCGTGACCAGGTCTCCGAAGGCCATCAGCATAAATCTCACGCAGTGAAGATGAACAGATATTTATTCGGATTTCTTGTCGTGCATAATCCACTACTTAAAGATACCAGAGTGGAACTTAGACAAATTGTGTACATCTGACACATTAACCAGTTTGACAATAACTGAAGATATCGATGCCAATTTCGAATGAGGTGGTGCCATGAAGTGTACTGCAAATATTTCCGTCCAGCTTACAGTGATTTAGTTCAAGAGAAAACAGACTTAAACAGCAATCCGCAGACGGGAAAAGTCCTTGCGGTTCTCGTGTCGTCCTTGGTGAGACTTTTTAGAGCGAACGGAAGTATGAGTGAAGTATTTTTGTCGTTTCGCTGAATGGTCTACATTAGCAGAAAAAGGGATAGTGAGTTTGCTTTCGGGTCCCTACAACACCCGCCCGGAGCTTGTATTCATAGTTGAGCTCAACGGAGCAACCATAGTTTCATATACTGTAGAAAGGTTTAAGTGAAGGACATTTTGTACTTTTATTTGGCTGGATATGAGTTCAGGGACAAATGTCTACCCAACTTAATGGTGTAGGGATCTCCACTTACAAGGAAAATGCCAGGGCACCTCAAACTTAATCCATGTGGTGGAACCAAGTCCCCACCAAGTTCCAACTACTTGCTTTATATACGGAAAGATTTTTACCTACGCCAACCGCGATTGAAATGGCTGTGCATTTGAAAACTGTTCCCAGGTGTACTTTGTCAGATTAAGCATCGGCCAAATATGATTGTTTTTGTCAGTCCAAGTCGCACAGAACTCGTTCATTATTTTAGTTGCTCAGAAATCAGCCGCTTTTTTCCTCTGAAAAAAATTATTCTGTGGCAACCTGAGTTGCTTTCTTCTGTACAATTTTAGTTGTTATAAACAGATTTCTATAGATTGTACTTACTACTATACTCCGTTTCATCTCATCATGTGCATTTATATGTGGACTTGTTCTTTTGAGCACCGTGATGAATCCTAACCTATTAGTATCCTTTGAATATGAGACAGTGACCTTCAAATCTTAGAAAATCACCCAGAATCTTTTATCTTCCTTAATGAATTCCATCAATTCAGTTTACCCCTTCAGTTAAAAAATAGTCTCATTGTAGCGGCCATCCGTTGGTCTTGCAGTGGGACCACCGAATAAACGAAACACATTTGAATGTGATAACCAGTTGGACAGTGAAACGCCACTCTTCGCCCAACCAGAATTACGAGAGCTGACAAAATATAACCTGCATTATTACCTTCTTGATAGAGACGGCAAACGAAGTTTTAGACTACTAGACCTGACGAATGTCTGCTTTCATAAGCTTATTATGTTCCTGACCCTTCCCAGTCAAATTCAACCAATCATATGGCGGTCAGTCACCCTAGCTTTAGGGCAGTCAGAATCATTGGAGAGAGGAGTGCCAGTGTCAATCAATTCGAACTGGTTCTGTAAGGGGATAGCAACCACAAAAATGATGATACAACACTGTGAAATGCTCCTTACGGGGAAACTTAACTCATTTAAGTGCTTGTTGTGCAGGGTTACTTTACGTCCGTTCGCGGGCAAACTAGATCCAGCAACACATGGTCTCATAGTAAGGCCTTCAGTTTGGGCGATTGGCTGGCGATAAGCTTTACACTGCCTCTTTCCTAGGTGGGAAGGTAAAGGCTGTATATACCACCAATTTTCTCTGTTAGATGACTAAATACTGAGGAATTCTGAGAATACTGAGATTTCTCGGGACCTTGTTGTAATTGATCCAACATCCTCGAAAAACGTAGACCAGGAATTGTTCTAAGATATGGCCACGAGATTTTGCGTTCAGGCAAAGCTCTTGGGAAAGGATATGGAAATAACCCTCAGGTGTTTTAGTTGTTCCTTGTGATAAAGAATTTTTGGCACAGTTGTTATTAGCCAGTGGTTGTCTGTCTCCTCCTTTGCCTAAGCACATTTTCACTGCCAATATATCGGAACGTGCAGTGAGGGGACAGAGTATCATGTCGAAGATATCACGGTAATTTTGATGGCCTAAGATCTATCGGCTTTTGTCGACCACGAATCAAGCTACTGGAAAATTTTTTGCTCTGTGCCACTCCACACTCAATTGCTAGTTCACAGCCTAACACAGCCGACAATAGAGGAAACATTCAAGTTGTTTTGCCTCGATTTCAATCGTTTTCCACCACATCGTCATCATCTGATAGCTCCATCAGAGTTAAGTGCCGCTGTATCGTCATCTAACAACATTAACTTTAGGAATCTGGGTGTAAAAGTAGGCAACATAGGAAAATGAGGGCAGTCTAATATTCGCCTTATCCTAACGATCTAAGGAGGTTATATCCTGCGTAGTTAGTCGGACATTCTAGATCGATGCTAACAGCAATAACGCTTTAGTGTCCTGTTTTGTGGGTATTTGCTAGACTAGGTTTCTTTTATCAATGCATTCTTATCATGGTTGACTGTCGCTTATTGCCCTACGTAATTGTCTTTGGTCCACCGTGAAAATTTTGATGACAATGATGCTGGAATTCTTGTTATACTGAGAGTTCGCCTGACACCCTCGTAAGTACCACCCTTTTTCTACCATAAGTCCTATAGACTGGCATAGAAGTTAACTCACTCCCTTAATCAGAGTTCCTCGAGAATCTCAATTAAAGCATCTCGGAAGTACAATTCTTAGGAGCATCTCGCTATGTCATTGACGTAAAGGAAATATTGCACTGCTGTAGGATCTATCTGGAGGCTTCTCCATTCACGGTTACTGCGCCTTGCCTGACCGAGAGCAGAGCCGTTGAGACGCACAACAATAAGAATGGCTCTGCATGACAGACTAAGGGATTCTTCCAAGCCAAACTTGTCACATACAGCAAGCTCAGTGTCGAGAAAAACGACACGGGCAATACGCGTTTACTTGGGTTTGTACCATAACATCAGTTACCTTCTATCGTGACCCATTTTCAACCCAAGAAGTTAATTTGGTCTGCATGCCTTAAACTTTTTCTCGCTAATTGTCTCTTCAAAATTTTGCATGCAATTTCATGGGCACCAATGTGTTATGCATCACTTGATGGGTGATGCCGATGAGCGCGTCTTAGCTAACATCTATTTTATTTTCAGCAAGAGACAACAAATCGAGAACACCTGCTACAGTGCAAAGAAGTACAAGAGCCCGTAGGCCTTTGACCACTGAATGGTCTCTACGGCGGAGCCAAGAAGGTTTAAACAATCTATCCAGCCTAGAGAATTCAATAAGATAAATATGTCAGACATGACAGAACCCACGTATTTTTTATGTTGTACAAGACAAGGAGTTATATCGAACGATTCCTCGGACGTTTCAGAGAGGTTTGGTAAACAATCGGTGGATTTATTGCTGGGCAACGTTTCGCTTTTGACACAAAAGCTTCGTCAAGTCGTCTAGTCAGAAGAAATCTCACGGATGGGTTCCCTGACTGCCTTAAAACGCAATCAACCTAGTTACTTACTCCCTTGGCCTGATGAAGCTTTTATGTCAAAAGCAAAACGTTGCCCAGCAATAAATCTACCGATTGTTTACCAAACCTTTCTGAAACGATGACTTCCTAATCGGTTCCAAACATTTTCCACTTGATTGAACTCCTCAGGCGGTTTGAAAAGTCCAAGTTTTCCGTTTACGAAGTATCGTTTTTTTATAGAGAAAACGTTTAGTAACGTTGCAGGATAAATCCCTCCTAAAAGGGAAAATATGGGTTGTCTTCCTTCTCTGGGAAGTTGCAGTCTACAATTTTAAACATAAAATACACCAGAAACGGTCACGTATTTAATCACTTGTCACCCCAAGCCAGATTTTGTGCTGGCGCATCGAATACAGAACAAGCAACAGACTCCCGTATCCAAAGTGTTGCAGATTGTTTACGAATATATACTGAGGCCCACTGTGTGAACCTGAGCATGCATATAGTTTCTGTGCAAAAGCACATGATTAACGGCACTGTCAATCACCGGGGTCTTTTTTTATTTACGCGCTCCGCGGGTCTCACCAAATTTCATGCAAGCAATCGCCTAAAAGTGTCAGTTCATCAGAAGACGTCATGTTTAACAGTCTTTTGTAAAATACATGAATCTGTGTGCATGTGGGCCCATAATTCTTATAAGCCAAGTGGTTTTGAAAAATGTGGGTTTCTTGAGATAAAGCAGTAAACCATTACGCTTTAGACAGAAGTGTTTGGCGGAGAAAACGCAACTTTGTTCATTTGTAAACGTGGAATTGAAAAACAGGGGTTTTTGCTTTTATTTCAGCCCGGGCCCCAAAAAGGTTATAGATAGAATAGCTGTAATAGTCCGGTAAGTTGTCGTGGTACGTGAGAAAGCCAGCGCCAAAGAGCTCCATGACCTCCCCCCTCTGTTTGCCAATGACGAATCCCAGGAAAATCGTTTTGGTGAGACCCTATCTTATTAGAAAAGAATATTATATTAGTCGATTGGTGCACATTTAACATGAGTTGAATGTCCAAACACACCAATCCCTTTGTTTCTTGGTAACTCTGGTCATACTTGCCGCTTTTCTCTCAGAAAACTGCCAATCAAAGTGGTCGAATACGAGAAGTGTTCTCTCCGGGCATACTACAATGCAAGAATTGCAAAAAAGATCGAAGTCCTAATGTCCTTTTGGCAATCGAGCGCACATCCTCAACGCTCCTTAACTTGTATTTGCTCCTGACTCTAATATAGTAATACATCAACAAGAGGCTTCTTCAACCAGTTTTGCCCTCACGATATCGTTCTTCCACTTTTTATACCCCATCTTTTTTGCGCTTGCCTCGTTAGGCGGAAATTTCTCACTATTAATCCCGATGGAACCGTGAAATTCCACGAGTAGTGGGGCTTCTACATTTGAAAATAATTTTGAGAAAATCTACTGAGTTGGTGTCACGTTCTTGTTATTCTCGTAATGCCCAACACCAGTTGAGTGAAGGGTTGTTTGCAGTTTGTTATTTATAACTC